CGCTTAACCACTGAGCCACCCAGGTGCCCCAAATAAATAAAATCTTAAAAAAAAAAAATTCCTTGTCTGTTAATTCCATCACTCTTGCCATATCTCACCGTATTTTTGGCCTTTAATAGGTCTCATAATTTTTTCTTGATAACTGGACATAATGGACTAGGTAAAAGGAACTGCTGTAAATAGGCTTTTTATAAAACAGTGACCAGGTACTGGAGGAAGGGAAGCATTCTGTAGTCCTATGACTCAAACACAGTCTTCAGTGTTTCTGTGTGCCCCACACACGCTTCTCATTCTCTCCTGCTTGCCGAGTTTTTATTTGCATGATAGTTTGTGAATTACCAAAATACAACTTAACTTTCTTTTTAAAATATTAATATTTATGCAGTTGATTGTTCTCAAATCATTTAATTCTTGTCTCCTGTCCTCTCTAGATGGCACAGGGCCAGTAGAGTGGGCTGGACCTCTCTATTTCCTCTCCTCCACATGGAAGGCTAGAGGGGGCTGGAGTTGGGTATGTGCCTTCCCTTAGGTCAGTTTGGCTCTGATAAAAATCCCAGCAGGATAGGCTCTGGTTAAATTTTAAGTTTCCCTTGAGGGCAGATCTTGTTAAAGAACACAATGCTCTGGCACGTTTCAAAATGGTGTCTTCTCCTCTCCCCTCCTGGAAACTCGAGGGGATTTTTCTCTGCTGTTTACTATGAGAACCTGTAGAGTTCCAGGAGGCAAAATGCACCGAAGTGGGCCCCCTTCCCATGACTGGGTCCCCCCTGTGTTTTTCTCTCTCAGATTTGTGCATGCTGAGCAATTCATCAGTGAGAGCTCTGGGGGCTCTACCCTGACATGGGTTCCTGCAGAGCTTTCTGCTTGTGGGCTTCTGCCCTATTCTTGCCTGCCACTCTCTCCGGTTTTGGGGGCGGGGGGTGGGGGAGGGCAGGGGTGTGCCCTGTAATCTGATATCTTGCCCATCTAAGAGGAGTTGTTGACTCTGCAGTTTGTTCAGCTTTTTTATTTGTTAGGATGAGCCACTTCTAAATTTCTTACAGGCTGGACTGGAAACACGTGAAGTTCATTTTTAATGGAGGAATGACTAAAAGAATCTTGTGCCTAGGAAACAGAGTGTTCCTGCACAGGACAGTGTGTCTGCCTTCTTCCTGGCTACAATGTCTCTGGCCTTCTTCCACGCCTACTGAAATTTGTTTCATTGTATCACAGCAATGAATTATTACCAAATCTGGATTTGGAGTATCTAATCTACATCTAGCAAAACTGATTTCTGTGATTATTTGGTTGGCTGATTCCCCCACCAGACTGGAGCGTAGAATCTAGGGAGGTGGTCCTGCCCCCAGTATCGGGGAATCACTTGGGAGCATTGGGCCATCGCCAGTCACCAGGAGCCCTCAGAGGAGTCTCCTCTTTCATAAGAAGAAACACACGAAGATGACCTCTATTGACCAAAGGAAGACACTGCAGTTACTCTCCTTCCTTCCAGCACAGGGACATGATCAACATGATCCCTGCCAGCTTCCAGGCACTTCACACATGTTATTACGCTACTTGTCCCTGGATTTACAATATTGACATCTACAAGGCGGGCACCATTGCTCCCACTTTAGAGGTGAGAAAAGCGGGGTTGAGAGACGTGAATTGATTCTCTGAGTTTCTGCATCGTAGGAAGCATTGCTAAAATCCACCCCAGGTCTGTCTGAGACCAAAGGCTTGCTCTGTCCACCAGTCCCCTGCTACTGAGTGTGGTCCAAGGACCAGAGCATGGGCAACATGGGGGAGTATTAACAATACAGACTTCACGGGGCGCCTGGGTGGCTCAGTGGAGTAGGTGTCCGACTCGTGGTTGCGGCTCATGTCATGATTGGCTCATGTCATGATGGGCTTATGTGATGATCTCTGGGTCCTGAGACTGGAGCCCCGCGTAGGGCTCTGTGCTCAGCGGGGAGTCTGCTTGGAATTCTCTCTCCCCCTTTCTTTCTGCCCCTCCCCCCTCAAATAAATAAATAAATCTTAAAAAAACAAAACAAAACAAAAAACCTAAAACCTTAATACAGACTTCAGGCCCCACCCCAGACCTACTGAATCAGAATTTGTATCCTAAGGAGATAAAAATTTTGTCTGTACCTTAAAGCTTGAGGAGCACCCTGACTCCCAGGAAGTGGTAGGGGAATCCGTTTGTCTTCTTGAGGAGACACTGAGTTCTCTTATTTATTCTGTGAACGTGAATTTCTGGCTACAAAGCACTCTGTCATTTTTCATGCACTGTCTTTACATAGGCTCCCTTTTCCCCTGGGAGGTAAAAAAGGTCAGTTTTTATCATTCTGATTTCAGAGCTGGGAAAACAGAAGCCCGTTGGGGTGAAGCACTCTGCCCAGAGCTACAGTCAGCAGGCATCCCAGCACTTGACATGGACTGGCTGGGAGGACGATCCAAGGGTTCCAAGATCTGGTGTTGGCGCCAGCACAGGGATCGAAGGTTCCTGAGCTTGCCTTCAGGGGTCAGAAAGCACAAGGCTGGCTCTGAGAGAGCCTTCTGCTCACTTGTTTATCCATGCATGATGAGTGTGGTCTGACTCCAATTTTACTACCTGTGTGTCCCTGAGCAAACTATCTGATAATCTCTCTTAGCCTTCTCTTCAGAGCTATTGTAAGGATCAAAAGAGGATGATGCAGGGCCGCCTGGGTGGCTCAGTCAGTTAAGCGTCTGCCTTCCACTCAGGTCATGATCCCAGGGTCCTGGGGTCGAGCCCCGTGTAGGGCTCCCTGCTCTGCGGGAAGCCTGCTTCTCCCTCTCCCTCCCCTCCCTACTCGTGCTGTCACTCTCTCTCTCAAATAAACAATCTTAAAAAAAAAAAAAAAAAGGATGATGCAGGTGAAGTGCTGGCATGAGGTCAGAACCCTAACAAATGGTCGTTGCTATTCATTCATTTGCTCCACAACTATAGGACCCGTGCCTACTATGTGCCAGGCTCCGTGCTTACTATGTGCCAGGCTCCGGGCCAAGATTCCAGATGGACAGAAGTGTTAAAAAGAAAACCACAGGCCCAAGGTGGAGTTGTTTGCCCCCGGGATAGCAACCTGAAACTTCAATGCAGTTTCAGCCTCCAGCAGAAATGTCTTTTAACTGATGAGCCAGGAATTTCTCGTCAGCACCTAGGAGGCAATCTGTCACCTGGGCCCTCTCCATCCCCCAAAGGAAGATGAAGTAATCCACCTAAGATTCCCCTGCCCCTCCCTTTAAGAGGTGACTTTGCCTGAAGCAGTCCTTTCTTTTCTTTTGCTAATAACCACGTTGTCCCACTCCCCTTCCCTTCAACACCTTCCATTTTGCACAACTCCTTGGAGCTTCTCTGTACTTGCTAGATAGGATACTGCCTGATTCATGAATTGCCTAACAAAGCCTATTTGATCTTCAATTTCACTCAGTTGAACTTTTTTTTTTTTGAGGGAGAGAGGAGGGGCAGATGTAGAGAGAGAATCTTAAGCAGGCTCCTTGCTGAGTGCAGAGCCCTATGTGGGGCTCCATCTCATCCCTGAGATCATGACCTGAGCCAAAATCGAGTTGGACATTTAACCAACTGAGCCACCTAGGTGCCCCTGAATTTTGTTTTTTGAACAGGGGATGTGCCCTTGCTCCCATGGAGATTACAGTGTAACGGGGAATATATGATCAAGTGCTTATAACTATGGTGAACAAGACAGGGAATGTCTTGAGTATAATGAATGAATGGACGAATAGGGCTATTTGCCTTTAGCTTAGGTGTAACCCTTCCCTCTGTTCACCCAGAGGAAGTGAAAGCAAACCTCCAGCTCTGGTCTCCATAGTCCCGTGTGAAGCATGGCCCAAAGCTGTCTCACCCCTCCAGCCCTTCAAAATACTAGGCCACTGGGCGCCTGGGTGGCTCAGTTGGTTAAGCGACTGCCTTCGGCTCAGGTCATGATCCTGGAGTCCCAGGATCGAGTCCCACATCAGGCTCCCTGCTCAGCGGGGAGTCTGCTTCTCCCTCTGACCCTCCCCCCCCCTCATGCTCTCTCTCTCTCAAATAAATAAATAAAATCTTAAAAAAAAAAAAATACTAGGCCACTTCAGAAGTATTTTCTCTCTGGAGAGTCCCCAGTCCCATTCCCAGGAGGGAAATGGAGTGGGGTGGAAGATGAGCTGGTTAGACTTTACCCTACGGGCAACTCTTATCCCGGCTGCTCTCCCACACCCAGGTGATAACCCACGGACAATGGCCACTTTTCAGTTCTTCAAATGCCAAGTACCAAACACGAAATTTTCCCCCATGCAGTTCCCATGGCCTGGAAAGGTTCCCCCACCTCTCCCCACTTAGTTTATTCCTACTCATCATTCAGGGGCCAGCTCAAATGCCGCTTCTTCCAGGAAGCCTTCCCTGACTCCCCAGACAAGCTTCAGGCCCCCAAAGAGAACATTCTATATATTCTCTTGTTGGCACATATCACAACTTGCAAGTACGTACTTGTGTGGCCACTTGCTTGGCATCAGTCATACCCAGGAGTCTGAGAGTGGAGCTGCTGTTTTGCTGAGTATTTTCCTGCCGGCCCTGAGCAGTGCCTGGCTCTATAACCAGGGCCTGCTCAACACATGCCTCTGAAGGGATGAGGCTGGTTGTTCAGGACTTTGAAGCTCGTCCCAGAATGTGAGGTCAGCGAGACACACAGCACAGAGACTGGTCTGAAGCCGTGCGGTGTGGGGAAGACGTGAGGACTGGAACCAAGGCAGACGCAGCGGGACAGGAGGTTGGTGGTGGTGGTGGTGGGGGTGCTGATGGGATGGGGAAGAAAGGGGAGGCATCAAGAGCCACTTATATATTCCCATCTCAGTGAAGGGAGCATGGCAGCACTCATGCCTGAAACAGGGGTCAAAGTCGGTAAGGCCCAAAGTCCTCCCGCCAGCCCCTCCCCCACCCAGCCTATCTCCCTCCCATCAGTGGCCTGGACTCTGTCCCCAGCACCAGACGGAGGCCACACAGCTCAGCAGCACAGCCCCTTTTTATTAACCATCCTCTCTGGTACGAATGTGCACAAGTAGGAAAGAAACAGTAAAATACCCTGGCGTGGAGGGCAGGGCAGGGGGCTCCTGAGGTGAGGCCAAGTGGCCAGATTCCAGCTCCTCCGGACACGGGTCTCTTTCTGGGCGGTGCCCCCCATCCCCCACCCCTCAGCTGAAATCCGACACCAGGAGGCTGCGCAGGCCTGCTGACAGGACCGTCCTAACCGTGCTGGGGCTGAGGGAAAACAGCAGCGAGGGTCTGGCCCGAGGGCCCGAGGGCGCGGGCATGTGAGGAACGGCTGTCCTCCAGTCTGGAAACTGAGCAGAAGCCCAGCCGGCCGCCGGCCAGCCTCTGCTTCTGTGATCTCAGCACCCTGAGTGGTGGGCTGCTGGATGGGGGGTCCCACTCACCCCTGCTGAAGAGGGACCGAGGAAATGCTGGGAGTTCCAGGTGGAGGAAGCCCGAGTCAATGCCTGGGATTGGTGGGTCAGAGTGAACAGCCAGAGAGAGAAAGGGGAATGCAGACCAGGAGAACAGTGTCCTCCTCACCTCGCCTGGGGCACAATCCAGTGTAACCTCAGGCCAGGCCTGGTGGACCCCTGGAGCTGACAAGAGAAGGTCGGGCACACCCCCTACTACCCCCCAGGCTTATGTGAGCCGGAGAGACTGAGCTAGGAAAATGGGGTAGGGGCTGAAGAAATGAGGTGGGGAGGGAGCAGACAAGATCTGGACTGGAAGGCAAACTTCCAGACTGGCAGGACTATGCTCAGTGACAACTCAGCAGCTCTTCTTCTCCGTGGGCTATCCTGCTAGGGTGACAGGGGAGAGGTGACTAGAGGGCAGGCAGAAGAGAAGCTACCAGAGAGGTTCACCCTGAGCCCGACCAGCCCAGCCCGCATGGGTGTGGAAGGCTCCCAGTCTTCTCTATCACCCACCCTGTGCCTCTGAAGCGAGGGGTCCACCTGGAATCAGAAAGAGAGAAGCAGCCGTCCTGCCTAGGGAAAAGCTGACTGAGGAGTCCTCACAGCACCGTGATGGTGCGGCACGGCCCCCGGCCTCGGGTTCGGAGCCGGGCTGGCACCGTTTGTAAACATTAGACTTGATGATGTCTGGGGATGGGGGAAGACAGGGAGGCCTGGACCCTCAGGTATGGGGAAAGAGGCCCCAGGATGGAGTGGACAGGGCCTGACTCGATTTACCTCTGTGCTCCCTTTGGAAGTTGCCAGATACCAGAGAAGCCACTGTGGGCCAAGCGGCTGACAAACTGGAGCAGGCCCTGAGTGCCGGGGTAATGAGCGCAGCCCCTGCTCAGGACAGGCTGCTCTGTGAAGGATGGTGGTGGCCCTTTGCCCACACTCTTTCTCCAAAGCAAAGTCAGGCTGGGTTCTTTTTTTCGGAGATGTTCTGACCCTCTTTCCCCATGTTTTTCAGGCATGGAGAAGTTGAGAGTTGGAGAACAGGGAAGGTTCTTCTGTGACACGAGACCTCCTCCCCCAATCCTCGCACTGCCGGGTTTGAGCTGTCCAGAGGTGTGAGGCCTGCTTTCACTCCAGAACTGTCCCTGGAAAAGGATGTCCAGATGTCATCCCAGCAGGAAAGACGAATGATGTTGGACTCAGGGTGGCCCCACAGCTCAAGGAGATGGGTTCCTGGGTCCAGTGGCAAAAGCCATGTGTTGCCTGTGAGGCAGTGGTTATGCCAAGAGATCCACAAAGATGGCGTTGGCTGTGGTCTGGCCAAAGATGAAGGCTCCCAGGGTGACCAAGAGGACACCATAACTGACCAGCGCCCACCAGCTGTAGGGTAGAGGAGAGAGAGGCCTAGTAAGTCAACCCACGCTTGACTTTGCAGACTTTTATATATATATATATATATATATATATATATATATACAGTATATATATATAAATGTGTATATCTGTATAAGTATATATATATGTATATATATATCAGTTAAGCATGGCCCAAAGCTTAATTATTGTAATTACTTATACCACTTCTCCCGTGGGTAGAACACTTCCTACTTCTAAATGACTTTTCATACAAAGGTATGTGGGACCAGTCTAGATCCCTAAACTTGGTCAGGAGACCAAGGCCTAATGGGATTCACTAACTACTCACAGCAAGCCAAGGGCAGAACCAGGATTAGAGCGCATGTGTTCTGATGGAAATATGTTCAGGAAAAAGCAGTTCACATGGAGTGTGATCCACTCCATTTACAAAAAAAGCAGACATCTGCAAATCCATGTATCAAAGATAGCAACAGGGCATTATAAGAATATAGCAGGATATTGAGATTAAGGGTGATTTTAATTTTCTTCCTTAGACTTGTATTTTTAAAGTTTTCTATAATGAGGGGTGCCTGGGTGGCTCAGTCCATTAAGTGTCTGCCTTCGGCTCAGGTCATGATCTCAGGGTCCTGGGATCGAGCCCTGCATCGGGCTCTCTGCTCGGTGGGAAGCCTGCTTCTCCCTCTCCCACTCCCCCTGCCTGTGTTCCCTTTCTTGCTGTGTCTCTAATAAATAAAATCTTACAAAAAAAAAAGTTTTCTATAATGAATATTTCTTGCACAATAATTTTTTTTAAAAAGCTTGCAACCTGTTTTCAACCTCTGTACTATTCGAAGAAATGTGGATATTAAAACAATGTTGTGTTTTTCATCTATCAGACTACCAAAAACTTGAAAGGCTTTTCCATACAATACCGGCAGGGCTGTGCAAAAGAGAGCACTCTCCCTCTCTGCTGCTAGGACTCTGACTGGTACCCGCCTTTCTAGAGGGACATTGGAGCCCTGTGCAAAAGTGAAAATGAGCATGTCCCACGATCCAGCAATTTCCTTCTAAGAATTGATCCTGTCAAGATCCTCAAAATAGGTGTGCCAAGGTGTCCGTGTATAAGAGTATTCATGCATTCATAAAACAGAACACTCTGCAGCCCTCAGAAAAGAAAAGTGGACGGATCTTCTTGTGCTGACAGAGAGTGATCTCCAAGACAGATGGTTAAGTGAAAGAAAGCAAGCAGTAGAAAAGCCTAGCATGAAGCCATTTTTGGAAAACCCAAACTAGACACAGAGCCTCATGTGCTTGTGCATACACATGCATGCTTCATGCACAGAGAGCTCTCTCAGGACGAGGGATTGGTGGGGAGTGGGCTGTGGGGGCAAGAGGGACTTCCACATTCTTCTCCGAAGTCCTTCAGTAGCATTGGAACTGGTACAACCAGCATGGATTAAAAAGGGATTTAGAAAACTCTTACGTTTTTCAAGTACAGAAGTCTCTTGATCCCTACCTGTTTTCGGCCCCCCGTGCCCCTGCCAGACCATCCCTCATCCAGCACTTCCCTGACAGGACCACAGGGTGCCCTGCTTTACCTGGCCGGCTTGACTTCTTCCATCTCAGAGAGTTTGGCTTGAATGAGGCACAGCCCTGGAAGAGAAGAGGAGGCCCCCAGAGCTCGGGTGGGCTCCTTCCCTCGGGCCCATCCTCCCCCTTTACCAAGAGGCCGTGGCAGTGAGTGGAGAAAGGCCTGCGTGTGCTCTTCCAGATAATACCCTGCCCCCACGCCACACACAGCTGGAGGCCAGCACCTGACAGGCACCCCGTGGGCCGCACGCGGGCCTCAGAGCTCATGGGCGGCAGCGGAAGGTGATTCAGTGGCAGCGCCCACAACACCTGGGGCCCTTCCCAGTGTCCTTCTGAGCAGGTGTGGCCGCCACTGCTCCAAGCACCGTGGCAAGGACTTGCCAGCTGGTCTCCCGGGGAGGAATAAGCTGGGTACAGGTGGAACTCGTGGCTGGGCACATGCGACCATTTCCCAGGGATCTGGCGGCAGACTTGTGTCTGAAGTCTCCCGACCTCTGCATCGGGGTGCTGCCACCAGACCCCATTACCCTCTGGGCTATCACGGCCTGAACCAGCCTGACCCCTCATCAGCAGGCAGCAACAGATGCGTGAATGAAAGGTTAAGAGTGCAGGCTGTGCACCTAGACAGATCTGGGTCAGAAAAGCTGCTACCCAGTAGCTGAGTCTGTTAACTTCCTCCCATCTCCTCATCAGCAAAGTGGAGAACACACCTGTGCTTTCTTTTCAGGAGGGGCAGGGGTTAGCACAGAGCCCAAGGTGGGTGGTTAATAAGCACTAGCAGGAAAGCAAGGGAGGAGCCGAGGCCGAGAGGCCATGGGCGCCAGTGCTGCGGGGAGGGAGGTGCCGGGGGTCCCCACCTGGGAAGACAAAGATGAAGCAGGCGGCCAGGCCTCCAATGACCGAGATGACCTTGCCGATGTCAGGGATGAAGAGCGCCAGCAGCAGGGTGAGCAGGAACCAGACGAGGGTCTGCAGCACGCGCCGCCTCCGCTCCCGCCCCACGTCCTCCTCCACCGGCATCCCCTGGTAGCGTAGCCACAGGCCTTCGACCACCGCCCTGCCCACGAAGACAGTGGCTCAGAGGCCCCCACTTCCAGTTCCCAGAGCCAGACCTCTGAGCGGGTAGACTGGGGGTATGGCCCTAAGCTCTGAGACTGTTCCCTGTTCTGTGAAATGGGCCTAGCAGGACTCCTCTTGTGGTTGCCATGGGGACTGGCTGGGATGGCGGATGCGATGCGCTTAGTGCCTGGGCTGGCCCAGGATTCCTCTCCCCCGCAACCCTGGGAACTGATACTATTATTCTCCTTGGGTACCTACAAGGCTGGGTGTTCAGGAAAGGATCTGGACTACAGGTTCTTAGAGGACTCACAGAAGGTCAAAGGACCATGTTCAAAGGGCTTACAAAAAGAGAGGAGCCTGGGGGGGAGGGAGTACCCCCATGGGATGGAGAGGGGGCTCACCGCCCACAGAAGTGCAGGATGGGGTAGGAGGTGAGCACGCTCAGGATGATGAAGGCACGGGCAACGGCCACAGCCATGTCCTCGGAAGGGTAGGACAGGAGCACGTCGGGGTCCACGGCAGCTCCAAAGGTCAGGAAGCCACAGATGCCTGAGGACAGGGACAAGAGGGCTAGGCAGGGGCGATCCTGGGAGGGTAAGGGGATGGACTGTTGACTCCTGGGTGCAACATCAGATGGGGAGGGCGGTGGAGCAGCTCTGGAGGCTAAGAGGGTGTCGGGCTGGGACCCGAGGCCTTCTCCCTGACTTCTCCCATTCCATCCCCACTGCCACCTTTGTCATCTTGAGCTCGCCCAGCACATTCCTGTGTCAGGGCATCTGCATGAACATTCTGTCTGCCCAGCCCCTCATACCCCCATCCCCTCACCATTCAGGTCGCAGCTCAGATGTCCGCTCCTCAGAGAACGCGTCCACCCTGCCCATCTACCATAACCCCTGGCCCTGGGTGCTCACTCACACCACCTTGCTCTATATTCTTCAGAGCACTACTCTCTGTGTTTTCTTTTTTAAACACTTGTTCATTGTGTATCTCCCCAGCCAGAACACGAGCCCCAGGAGGACAGGGACTCTGCCTATTTGCCTCTCTTGGTCCTGGCTTTGTCTTCAGAGGTAGAACAGTGCTGGCCCCCTAACACCTGTGGAAGGAATCACAGGGCCTGGACTTCCTGGTCTTCTGGTCCTGCTCTGTCATCCAAACCATTCCCCGCATGGCGCCCATGGCCATTTTTTGCCAAGACGTGCCCCTGCTTGAAATGCTTCCTCTCTGGCTCCCAACAGTCCTCAGGCCCAATAGGACCTATCCGTTCCCTGTCTGGCCCCACTGCCTGCCACCTGCCCCCAACTCACCCCACTCCAGACCTTTCTGTCCCTGCCTCAGGGGCTTGGCATTTTCTGCCTCTGTCTGGAATGCTCTTCTCCCAGCCCTTCAGATTCTGGCTCCTCATCACTGGGGGCCCCCCCAGATGCCACCCCCTGAGAGAGGAGCCTTCTGTGAACCACCCCCTTTCTGTGATCCATGTTGGCTGTCCCCACCTCTCCCAGTCCCACTCACATCTTCCCTGTTTGACTGTCACAGTGGCACTCGCCACTGTCTAGAATGCCTTACTGATTCCTCATTTACTCTGTGAGACTCTCTCTGCCTAGACCGTCAATTCCACGAAAGCAGGACCATGGCTGTCAGTCTCCACAGCATCCCCCATGCTGGGAACGGTTCCTGGCACTTAGCAGGCACTGACTGAGAGCTGCTGAATGAATGGATGAATATATCTCTCTCATTTGGGCGGGAGGAGGCCCAAGGCAGCCCAGGTTCAAGCCAATGCCTACAGAAGTGTTTTTGATATGCTGGGAGTGCAGGGCTATCCCCAGGAGAGCTGGGCCAGAGGACATGGAGACAAAGGCGGAGATTGGGAGCACTCCAAGTCCAGCCCTCAGAGGGGAGCACTCACCTGTGCCCATGTAGACAGCGAGGGCAATGATCATGGCGGCTGTCACCACCCCACCCCAGGTCTTCACCTTGGGCCGCCGCATGCTGTTGAAGACGGGCACGCTGCTCACATGGCACTGTTACGATGAAGGTCACAGTTATGAGGGGAAGTAACCCCTTCCCCGGTTTCCAGAGGGAGGTACTTTGGGGACAAAAGCCACAGGACAAGTCCCAGGGCCCCAACTCTGTCTTTCCTCCCAGGATGTCCCCATCCTCCCTGTAATGTGGGTTCCAGCCCGGGGTGGGGAGCAAGCTGAGAGGCCGAGACAGGAACCTTGCAACCGGCACCTGAAATCCGAAGCAGATGGTGGGCATAGCATTGAACACGGTCACCCAGGAAGCTGGCCTGTGGACAAACACACACGGATCTGCTGCCTGTGCACCCCCCAGAGCCACTGACCGCTCCCATGCCCTTCCTCTTCACTCAGCCCACCATGACCCTCCCCCAGCACTATTCTACACATTCAACCCCCCTAAGTCTGGTAACAGGGAGAGGGCACCTCTCCATTTCACAGGTCAGTAAACTGAGGCTCTGGAAGACCCTCCAGGGACCAATATCCCGAATTTCTGGCTCCTGCACTCGGGCTTTTGCTTTCCTTTCTTTCTCTTTCAAACACAAGAAACTTTTTTTTTTTTTTTTAAATGACAAAACAGCTTCATCCTCATACAGAAAATACAGAAGTTACAGATGAGCACAAGTAGTAAAAATGGAGAAGTCCACCCTGGTAGTCTCCATAACCAGAGGCCTCGTCTCATGATGACTCATCTTGTTGGATATTGGTGGCAAAGTCTCCCCATCCCTGGTTCTCACTCTTCCCTCCAATAAAAAGAGATTCCTGCCTCCTTCCTACAATGACCGATGAGTCAAGTTCTGGTGAGTGAATGAGCCTTGAGAAGAGCACCTGTGTGGCCTTTTGATGTCTGACCTAGCACCTCCCGGGGCCCAAGTGGTGGCGTCCCCCGGGGGTTCTTACCCACCTGGTCAGGATGTCCCCTGGGGTCATTTCTTTATCTGGCCAGATATATTTGATGATAATGATGGCAGTGACGTACCAGGTGCCCACGACGCTCAAGAAGCTGCCAGAAAGAATGGACTGAGCTTCCTCTTCCCCAGCCCCAGCTGCCCTCTCTCTACTTCCACCCCAGGGAGTACCCATCCTCAGCTCTCGTGACCACAGTGTCTACCGAATGAATTGGGAGACTATTCCAAACAAAGATTAAAACGATGCACAAGAAATAAGTTTTAGAGGGGTGCCTGGCTGGCTCAGTCAGAAGAGCATACGGCTTTTGATCCTGGGGTCATGAGTTTGAGCTCCACGTTGGGTGTAGAAATAAACTTAAAAAAAAAAAAAAAGAAATAAGTTTTAGAAAAACTGGTCACAGCTTGGAGGGAGCTGAACCCAAGAGGTGGCAAGACTGATATTTCTGACCATTAGGAAATGCTCTGGTTCAGCTCCATGGCTCAGAGGTCTGGGCTTGAAAGCACATCTGTTAACTTCCATCCGTGCAGCCCCCACTGGGTGACAGCTGCGAACAGGGCCCTTCAGAACTAGGAGACACTGGAGGGAAAAGGGCTGGGATGTCAACATGAAAGGGGAGCTTGGAGACAGCTGAGTGCGACCCTGTCAATTATGGATCGCAGGAAACAGCTCAGAATCACACAGCTTTTCAGACCCTGAGCCAGGAAGCCAGTCCTCTCCCTTCATACCAAGCTGCAGGGAACACAGGGCCAGGCTTGACAATTCCAAATGATCAAAAATCCACTCTCCCCGGGAAAACCATAGCCCTGGCCAGGAAGCTGCCTTCACACTCCTGATTATCATCCATCCCTTCTTTGACAAGGACATTTGGAGTGGAGTCTCTCACTGATGCAAAGGGCCACTGTCTTCCTTGTTGCTGACACAAAAGGAAACCTTAGGCTGGAAGCTTTGCAAGCCCTGGCCCACCCTGCCTTGCCCGCTCTTGCTGCCCCAGAAGGAGAGGGCTTCTCCAGCAGTGCCTGGGTCTCTAGCTGCCTGTGATTAGAGCTTCCGTCTGGCCTGGGCTGGGCTGGGGTCTCCGAACCTGGCATATTTCTGGAAGCCGATCTCTCTGGGGATGGAAAGGGGCAGGATGAAGAGGAAGGCCGTGAGGCTGATGGTGAACTTTCGGTCTGTGTACCAGGGGCTGCCGCCGGCCCCCTCAGGCTCCTTCGCCATCACAGCTATAACTGCACAGGAAGGAAGGAGGGAACATCACGCCAGGCCCCTGCAGACTGCAGCCCTCCTGCTCTGGTGAGCCTCAGGGCCTCCATCAGTGTAATGGGCTCAGCAGCCAGGAGGGAGGATTTGCAGAAGAATGCTGGACCCAGGCTAGGCCCCGGGGCAGGTGTTTGTGCCTGTTCCCTCCCCCGGGGATCCCCAGGGCCGAGGGGGAGGGATGAAGGATGTCTGGAGGGGGAGCCTCACTCTTGTCTTGTTGGTCGCCGATGATGATGAGGAAGGCGATGCAAGTGCCGAAGGTGTAGATGGCAATGGTCACCTCACAAAGCACTCCCGTCAGCTTGCCACACACGGCCCACACCACCTCCTGGTAGGTCCTCTCGTTGCTGGCCTGGGAGCAGTAGGCCAGGATGACGAGGCCGCTGATGATGAAGACCAGCATGCCCTGCAGGCAGGACAGAGCCAGAGGGTGTGGGGAAGGCCTGGCAGCAAAGGGCAGCCTGGTCTTGCTCAGCATTTACTAAGCCAATGCCCGAAGCCAGTTTGGTAAATGAGTCTCATCTTGTGGGCAACTTTACCAGATTGCTGGAGGCTGCCGAGTTGAGGTTTTCTCTCAAAACAGAAGTTTTGTGGAGAATTTCAAACATACACAAGAGTGGACCGGATGGTATCACGAACCCCCATTCACCCATCACTCGGCTTCAAAAATAATCAATTCGTGGCTCATGTTGTTTCTGCTACTCTCCCCCCCCCCCCCCCCCCGGATTATGTGGAAGGAAATAGAGGCTACCAAATTATGTCACCAGTAAATAGTTCAGCATGTAGTTCTAAAAGATAAAGGCCCAGGGCGCCTGGGTGGCTCAGTCGTTAAGCGTCTGCCTTCGGCTTGGGTCGTGATCCCAGGGTCCTGGGATCGAGCCCCGCATCGGGCTCCCTGCTCAGCGGGAAGCCTGCTTCTCCCTCTCCCACTCCCCCTGCTTGTGTTCCCTCTCTCGCTGTGTCTCTCTCTGTCAAAGAAATAAATAAAATCTTAAAAATAAATAAATAAATAAAAGGGCTCACTTTTTAGATATACACTACACAATTATTCATTTTGCAGCCGATGTCCAAACTTCCCTGATTGCTGGGAAGCACTCTGAAGCCTCATCTGGGCTCAGAGGAGAGAATGCTGGAATAGATTAGTAATGCCTGCCAAGTATGAGGGTGGGGAGAGTGGCCGCATGTGTCATGCACTGACTATCCCGGATGCAAAACCTCTCTTCTGGGGGAAGAGCCCAGACCCAGCACCCGAAGTGCATTTCTGCCCTAGCGGCCAGCACACTCACCATCTGCAGTGTGACGCCGGCCGCCAGCCCGCCTGCGGTGCTGAAGGCTGCGGGGAAGTTGAGCAGCCCTGCACCTAGGCAGGCGTTGACGACGATGAAGATGGCCCCAATGGTGGAAGTGGTGCCTCTGCCCGGACCCGCAGGAGAGGCCTCCCCTTCGCTCTTGGGGGCTGTGTCCACACAGGGACTCTGTAGCAGACGGGCCCGCTCCCCAGAGTCTGAGCTCGAGCCCCACTCGCCGAGGTCACTGTTGATGCTGACCTCGGCCATGGCCCCGGGAGCCCTCTTCCCGCGGGGTCTGCAGATTCGGCCTCACAATCACATCCCCTGGGCAGCTGAGGGAACACCTTCAGCTGGAGGGTGGTGCCAGCCTGTTTGGAACTATGATCCCAGGAGGCCTGTGAGCTCCAGCTCTTCTCAACCTAGATGGGAGAGACAGGTACTACTGTTACCCTGGGATGGGCACAGAAAGCTGAAACAACATTCTGAAGGTCAGATGGCGGAGACTCAAACCCAGGGGTGCCTCTGTGCAGAAAACGGCGATGGGTGCCACAGTGCAGGGTGGCAGAGACAGAAATACATCCGATGCGAATCCTGCTTGCTTCAGGCTTACAGACCCTCAGGGTCAATAAGACATAAACATAAAACAGAGGAGTACTAACACATCAGCACGACAGAGAGGCTCCACGTTGGGCAGGAGTATCATGGACACATCTTATCTCATTCAGTCCTTACCACAGTGGTCATAAGGTTCAGAAAGATCATATCACTGACCCAGGGGCACATATTAGCAAGACAGGATTTGGATCTAAATCTATCTGGCTTCTCAGCCTGTTTCTACACCAGAGTTGCAAGAGCAGCCCTCACCTAGAACTGGGGGTATTTCAATGTATTACAGTCCCACATATCTCCCTCTGGCTGAGTCTAAATTCTGCGTAGCTTTCAAAGCTGTTCAAAATTCAAGGCTAATTAATTCTCACTCTTCTCCCGAGTGACTGACCTAACCACGCCCATCAGAGAGGCATCCCTCTGATGCCCTCAGTACACTGGGGGGGTTTAGAATGGCTAATGAGACCCCCTAGGTAGTCAGATGCTTCTCATTTCTCCTACTGGTGATGGCTGAACAAAGGTGGGAATCGTACACTCCTGAGAGGTTAAAGGAAGAATTTGGATGCTCTCAGACAACTGTCACCAAGCATACACCTCAGCTCCAGAGGGAATCTCTCTCTGCTGGCTCCAAGTCCAGAAAGATCAGTCAGATGCTACAGGGCTTCCTCTTATGCAACCTGTTACCCAACCAGTAACTCAGCAAAAAATCAAAGCTGTGAGTAGTGGAGGTAGAGTTTGGGGCTCCCAGCTTTCCAGCATAGCTCCAGACAGAGCCCTGCGAAGTCAGCACTCCCAGAGCTGTGAGACCTCCTCATCCACCCTGCTTCCATCTCAGACACAGAGGTCCCTGCGCTGGTCCAAGAGTTCTCAGCTCTCCTTCCCAGAAAAGTCCTCAGCTCCACAACTCCCAGCTTACCTGCTATTTCCACCTGATGGTCTAAGGTGGAGGGTGTGTTGCTCCTTACAGCTCTTTCTCCCCAAAGATCTGGGATCTGATTTTCCTCACTTCCCTCGCTGGCCCCAATCTCTTCTTTCTCAAAACTTCACCTAAAATCGGCAGTCAGCAGAGAGAAGAGTTTGAGCTGTTTCTGCGCTGGTCAGCAGAGTGAAGGAAACTGAGAAGCTCTGACACCAGATCAATCAGGGGAACAGGCCCAGGGAAGGGTAAAGGGAATGTCACAGCAGGTAGTTGGCAGAATCAGAACTACAAGCCTGACATCCACAGGCTCAGGCCAGAGCTGTAACCACTGCCGCGGGCCCCCTCACATTCCAATCGGAGCGGGTTCCCAGTCCAGCCTGGGGCTGGATCCCAGAAATACGCAGGGTGGGTTGCATTGGGAAGAGGGCCAGGACGCACCCGGAGCGGAGGGGAGGATCCCCAGGACCGAAGCAAGGCGAAGGGGCTGCTGTGAGGTAAGCTAGGGAGACGCTCCGGGACTCGATCCGGGCCTAGCACCAAGTGGAGACAGTGGGGCTAGGCTGGGCAAAGCCGGCCCAACTGAGGGCGGGCGGGGGACCGAGGACGCCGGGCTTCCGAGCCCTGCAGGGAGTGGGCAGGACTCTGCCGCAGCGGGGGCCCCAAGGCCCCGGGACTTAAGCTTCCACCCTGCACAGACAGCCTCTACCTTCCTCCACCTACCTACACTGCCTCACACCCGAGCCGGCTGCAAGGACACGTGAGCCGCGGTCACATGACCGCCGGGACTCCTGCGGGCCGCGGGAGGCGCTGGGAGTTGTAGTTTTCCACAGGCTCTGGTCTTGGAGGGCAACAGCTCCCTGAATCCTCAACCCCGCAGCATTGACCGGAGACCCTCTGCGGGCCAGCTCACCATGCTTATCCTGTTAAGTTTTAATCCTGGGTGGCTCAGTTGGTTAAGCGTCTGCCTTCGGCTGGGGTCATGATCCCAGGGTCCTGGGATCGATTCCTGCGTCAGGCTCCCTGCTCTACCAGGAGACTCCTTCTCCCTCTGCCCCTCCTTCCACTTGTTCTCTAATAATAAATAAAATCTTTAACAAAATAAAAAAAGATTTATTATTTCAGAGAGAGAGCGAGAGCGAGAGACAGAGTGAGCCCTAGGGGAGAAGTGTGGGGGGAGCCCCATATGGGGCTTGATCCTAAGACCCTGAGATCATGACCTGAGCCAAAATCAAGAGTTGTATGCTTAGCCGACTCAGCCACCCAGGTGCCCCCAAATTCACCCTTTTAAAGTGTCCAGTATAGTGGTTTTTACTATATTCAGAGTTTTGCAGCCTGCCTAATTTCAGAACACTGCTGTCACTCTTCCTAAAACTCTGTAACCATGAGTAGCCAGTCTCCGCTCCTTTCTCTAAGCCCCTGCAAACTACTAATCTATTCTGTGTTTCTACGGAGTTGCCCATTCTTGACATTTCATAAAAATAGAATCATATGTGACCTTGTGTCACAAGAACATCCACCTCAGACAGATTAATATATGTGACCTTCTCATCACATATATTTTGCCTTCTACTGTTTTCAAGGCTCATCCACATTGGAGCATATTTATTGCTGGTTAATATGCCATTGTTGGGCTATTCCCTATTTTGATTATTCATTTCAGCAGTTGACTGGACATTTGTGTTGTTTCCAGTTTTTTTTTTTTTTTGAAGATTTTATTTATTTTTTTGACAGAGAGAGACATAGCAAGATCAGGAACACAAGCAGGGGGAGTGGGAGAGGGAGAAGCAGGCTTCCCGCAGAGCAGGGAGCCCGATGTGGGACTCGATCCCAGGACCCTGGGATCATGACCTGAGCCGAGGGCAGACGCTTAACGACTGAGCCACCCAGGCGCCCTTGTTTCCAGTTTTTGGCTAGTGTGAATAACAGTGCTATAAACACTCACATACGTTTTTGTATGGATGCATGTTTTCATTTATCCTCAGTATTTACATAGGAGTAGAATTGCTGAGTCAAATGGTAACTGTTTAAACTTTTGAGGAACTGCCAGACTGCTTTCCAAAACAGCTGCACCATTTTACATTCCTATGAGCAGTGTATAAGTTCCCAATTTCTCCATATACTTGGTAACCCTGGGTATCTTCTCTTTTTCCTTATACCCATCCTAGTGGGTATGAAAAGATTCTCATTGTGGTTTTGATTTGCATTTCCCTGCTGTTAGCAACTTTTCATGTGCTTATTGGCCATTAGTATGTCTTTTCCGGAGAAATGTCTATTCAGACCCCTTTTCCAGTTATTAAGCAGATTGTCTTTGTATTAGATTTGTACTGGTTCTTTATATATTCTGTATACAAGTCCCTTATCGGGTATGTGATTTGCAGTACTAATCTCAACATTTTTTAATAAGATTGTTGTTTTGAAAAAGTTGGTCTTTCAGTTACTGGATATAAGGTAAACTAGTGGGATGGCTGGGTCTCTCAGTTGGTTAAGCCTCTGCCTTCGGTTCAGGTCATGATCTCAGGGTCCTGGGATCTGAGTCCAGCATCAGGCTTCCTGCTCAGTGGGGAACTTGCTTCTCACTCTGCCTGCCCCTGCTTGTGCTCTCTCTCTGACAAATAAATAAATAAAGTCTTAAAAAAAAAGTAAACTAGTAATTTCTGAAAGCCCCCAAAATTAAAAACAAAAATCAAAAAAATCCCCCAAATTCCCAAGCCTAGAAGTAAGGAAAGAGTTTAAAAGTTTTTTTTTCGGGTGCCTGGGTGGCTCAGTTGGTTAAGCGACTGCCTTCAGCTTGGGTCATGATCCTGGAGTCCCGGGATTGAGGGATTGAGTCCCACATCGGGCTCCCTGCTCAGCAGGGAGTCTGCTTCTCCCTCTGATTCTCCCCCCTCTCATGTGTGCTCTTTCTCTCTCTCTCAAATAAATAAGTGAATAAAATCTTTAAAAAAAAAAATTTTTTTTTTTTCCAAGGAGGGATGCCTGGGTGGCTCAGTCGGTTAAGTGTCTGCCTTCGGCTCGGGTCATGATCCCAGGGTCCTGGGATTGAGTCCCACGTCAGGCTCCCTGCTCAGTGGGAAGTCTCCTTCTCCCTCTCCCTCTGCCTGCCGCTTTGCCTGCTTCTGCACTCTGTCAAATAAATAAGATCTTAAAAAAAAAATCAATTCAGATTTGGGAACTATTATACCTTAAATTATAACAGAACAAAGGCATGACTCTTCTGAGTAGGCAAACCACCTCCTCCATCATGGGCAAGAACATTAACATCTTAGAGCCTGACTAAGAAACTAGGAAGGGGTGAAGCTAACAGTCTGAACAGTAGAGAGAAGCATCAGGTTCATACCCACCAGCTCTGTTTTCAGTGAGGAATGGGACTTGGTCCAGAGTGTGCTGGTAATACATGTGTTTAAAAATAACAAGTCAGCAGGGTGGTTAAGTTCCTTTTTTGGTTGAGGTCTTGGCAGCCAACTTTCAACCTTTTGGCTCCAGACAAGGAGACTTAGCAGTCAGTCCCTTTATGGATCAGTTGATATTATTTATTGCTTTTCCTTTTAAGATATTTCCAAAGACACCCCGTGATCTGGTCCATTCACTTCCTTTTACCACCTTGGTATTTCCATTGGCAACAGGAACACAGAAGAACCAAGGGTCAGGAATGACCCCCCCCCCCCCCCACCCTGTGCACCGTGTCCCTCAGGGAGCTAAGAGAAACAAGAGGTCACTTTCTTCTTTCCCCCCAAATGTCTAAACACTGTGGATGGGCTCTGGGCCTGAGTCCTGTTCCACTGTCTGTCTGGTCAGTAGCCGGCCCATCTCGAATGGTTCCTAGCACTAAGCACAAGGGGACAGAATAACCTTGGGAGGACTGATGCTAAGCAGGTGCCCCTGCTAGATGTCTGCTGACAGCACATGACTTCATGCTAAAGGTTGCACACTGGCCAACTACTGTTTGCATCTCGCTAGCAAATCATTTTAAAACAACTGAATTAGTTGCCAACTTTTAAGCATCAACAGACCTCCCATAAAAACCGGGATTTCCATTTTATTTAAAAAAACTTAAGACCTGGGGTGCCTGTGTGGCTCAGCTGGTTAAGTGTCTGCCTTCAGCTCAGGTCATGGTCCCAGGGCCCTGGGATCGAGCCCCGCATCTGGCTCCCTGCTCAGTGGGAAGCCTGCTTCTCCCTCTGTCTGCTGCTCCTCCCTGTCAAATAAATAAAATCTTAAAAACCAAAAAAACCACAACTTAAGACCTGCAACCCTGAACTTTGATTCTCTTGGTGCTGTCACTTCCCTACCACTCGCCAACACTGAGGATGAAGGCTGCTCACCAGTCATGATCTATCTACTTCACATCCCTTTTTTACTTTACATTCACTGTTTGCTTCTATTACCTACTTGGCTCCTGTAGACACCAAGTCGTCACTGCCCCTCCGCTTCTTCATCCCTGCTCTAGCTACAGTTTCCTTCGAGGTATTCCACTTGTCTGCCAGAGTTCAAAGGATTATACCCACATTTTCAACACTGCTGGACTGGACAAGCCGAATGGCAAGACAAAGACGAAGATGTGGCTTTTGTTTACATTCGGAACAGCTCACACGCCTACTGGCTTACGGGCAGCTGAATAGGCCTGCAGGCTTCTGGGACATACGGCCACTCCTAGCCTTTCCTCCCATTAAAGAAGAACATAGTAGACACTGGTGGGGTCTACGGTAACTTTATTTTAGCAGAGAAACCAGGCTGCCAAGAAGTCTACATGATTGGAGCAGATGGTGGTTATCTTTCCAAAGGGTGAAGCCTGAGCCCAGCTGGCAGCACACAGAGGTTAAAACCGAAGTGTAGAGGTCCGCTTGCCTGGTTCTGCCCTGCATTGCGCTCATGGTGTGAGATGAGAGACCGCACAACCGTACTGAATGAATGGATCCAACCGGGCAGAGGCGACATCCCGACAGCAGACAATCAATCACTGAAGACGATGCTGAACTCAAGTGCCGTTACCTACTCTCTGCTATTCTCTGATGAGAAAGGTGAGGGTACAGGAGGAGTAGGAAATTATCTTCTTGGTTCTTTAAATAAGGAAAGCTAGAGCATGGGGCAGGTGGTCAATCAAGCAGTAGCACAGGATGAAAATGTAGGCTAGTTATAGATCTCTGTGCCAAGGAAAAGAACAGCAATGATAAGGGAAAAGAGAGGAACATTAAAATGCCTGAAAGTATTGAAAAGAAGAACCTTTTTTTTTTTCCTTAAATAAGACAGGAAACCGCATCTTTTTATTTTCCTCACTGTAGCGGCAGCAGACTTGCTGGTTTTCACGAAACATGATTTCTGTAACGAGGTCTGTTGATAAGCTTGCTCGATCGCGGGAGGACAAACACAGGGCTGCCTGTCAGTGTTAGAATGAGCTCTTCCCACAACACCTCTTGCAGGTGCTGTTCTCATGCTGCATCTAGAAGTGCCCCAACACCATAAGATGCTGCAGTTAAAGCTTCTGAAATACTGCAATGGCATGATCGACATGGTTTTGGGGCTATGTCTTTCTTGTACATGTAAACTCTTTTGGAATAGCTGAGGTTAAAGGATGAGCAGGAGTTCGGTTTTGAGCCACAAAGTTTCAGACACCTGCCACGGATGCCTCTGCCCTATTTCACTACATGTTCTTTTCTGTGAAACACATTCAGTGGTTGAGTATTGTGTACTGTGGTTGAAAGAAAGGACCTGCTCACCCCCATCCACCCTCCTTCTCTCTCCGTGTGAATCTCACAACAGCAGGGGCCATAGGCAGGAAGGTTGTCTCTGGTTCCTCCCGCCAGGGAAATTACTTGGTGACCTGGTGAATCGCATGGGCAAGGTAGCCCACGTTGCCAGAGGTGACCCCTGCCACAGAGATGCGGCCGTCCTTGGTCATGTAGATGGAGAACTCCTTGGTCAGCCTCTCCACCTGCAGAGAGGAGAGTACAGGAGCGTGTTCTAGGCGGGGGGATTTGCCCAGCCCAGGCGGTAAAACAGGAAAATAACAAGAAACTCTATTTTCTCGCTTAAACCCTATTCCCAGAATTTGGTGGGCTAGCATAGAGAGAAGGATAAAAAACCATCTTAAAGTCAGATGAGGAATTCTGAGGTGTGAACAGGTGAAAACAAATCTTAGATCCAGCATTTGTAGGAAAAAACAGATCCAGAATGCAGCTATGGAACAGCTCAGCTATGGCTCCTATCAGTATTCAGGCTCCTGCTTGTTCTGGTATCTCTTCAGAGAAGCAGCAGTAGTCTGGAGAAAGACCAAAACACGCTCTGCTTTTCGGCGATCTGCAACCTCATGGCGACACAGACAGGGAAACAACTACTAACAGAACAAAATGAATGCTACCCTCTTCCTTTACCTAACAAGCCTCCAAAATGCCTGTTTCAAGGGTAATCTGAATAGGTAGGGGATCTGTGAGGAATTCCAGTTTACGAGGACTGATCAGTCGGTCAGCTGAGGAGAAATCGGAGCCCACTCACCTGCTCGGGTGTTAGTCCTGTGAAACAGAACATGCCAATCTGGTCGGTGATGTGCTGCCAGTTGTGAGAGGAGCCCTCCTTCTTGAGGTTGGAGACCAGCTGAGTTCGCATGCTAATGATGCGGTCGGCCATGCCTTTTACTTCCTGCAACCTGTCAAACAAGAAACAATAAAAAAAGCCCCTGGGACGCAGCTCAATTCTGGACAAGCACCACAGATAAGCTGCAGCTCACAGCAGTTTTACCTTCCTTGAGTATTCCCCTAGTGTGCCTTAATTCTCTGTCCTAGCCCAAGTCAGATGCTGTCGCTGGTTCAAGAAGTGAAAAGCTCTTTTACAGCATTGTTTTCTATCAGAACACTATTTTGATTAGGCACCTAATGATTAACGTGATGGAGTTACTAAGAAAGATGAGGGGGCACGTGGGTTGCTCAGTTGGTTAAGCATTCGATTCTTCATTTCAGCTCAGGTCATGATCTTGGGGTTGTGGGATCGAGCCCTGTGTCGGGCTCTGTGCTCAGCATGGAGACCACTGGGATTCTCCCTCTCCCTCTGCCCTACCTCCACCCCGTGCTCTCTCTCTCTGAAATAAATGAATTAAAAAAAAAAAAAAAAAAAGATGGATGAATGACTCAAATCTAGGAAGGCTAAGGCTCTCCATCCTTTATGCAGGGAGCAAAAGTTGTGTTTTATTTTTTAAATATTTTATTTATTTGAGAGAGGGGGAAAGAGAGCAAGCATGAGTGGGGGAAGGAGCCCCGAAGTGGGGCTCAATCCTGGGAGCCCAGCATCATGACCTGAGCCGAAGGCAGACACTTAACTGACTGAGCCACCTAAGCGCCCCAAAAGCTGTGTTTTAAATAGTAAACTATGACCTTATTTTTAACATGGAAGGAATACACACTCCTGCTTTTGCAGTTAAGACAGTGCATTGGGAACCTATGATGTTCCCTTCTCACCACCAAGCCATGTGCTAGGTGGTGAGAAGGGAGAGTTCAGACATGGTCCTTGCCTTTAAATCTTACAACTGACACTAGGAACAAACGTGTAAACCACCAACTATGGAATAAGGCAGGACAATGTAAGAACCAACCGAACAGTGCTGTGTTGAAAGCCCCAGGAAGAGAGGGTCAGTTCTATCTGGTGGCTGAAGGCAGTCCTCTGATACACATGGCTCACTCGATTCTGGACATAATCACTGCCTTCCTTAGATCCTCCTCTTCCCATTCTGTACCTATGGCTCTAGGGGAAATTCTTGCCCAACTAGACGACTGTAAAAACATTTATAGTTTACCTCCCTGTTCTAATGTGTTCATGTTCTTAAACCATCTATGATGATGTCATACACAGTTACAACGGGTCACATTGCCAATTAGAAGTCAAACAAAATTAGTCTTAGTTATTTTTATTTGACTCAGGTAAACATTTAAAATTGGGCACTTGCACATAAAAACATGGATTTGTCCTCTCTGGAAAAAACTGGCAACACTTCACTAGCAGTGTGATTCCTGGCTGGAGCTAGAGCTCCTGACCCCTCTAGGGATGACATTTGATTTTAAATTTCCTATGGTCCCAGGGCACCTGGGTGGCTCAGTCGTTAAGTGTCTGCCTTCGGCTCAGGTCATGATCCCAGGGTCCTGGGATTGAGCCCCGCATTGGGCTCCCTGCTCACCGGGAAGCCTGCTTCTCCCTTTGCCACACCCCTGCTTGTGTTCCCTCTCTTGCTGTCTCTCTGTCAAATAAATAAATTAAGTCTTTTTTTTTTTTTTTTAAAGATTTTATTTATTTATTCATGAGAGACAGAGAGAGAGAGAGAGGCAGAGGGAGAAGCAGGCTCCCAAGGAGCAGGGAGCCCGATATGGGACTCGATCCCAGGACCCTGGGATCATGACCTGAGCCGAAGGCAGACGCTCAACCATCTGAGCCACCCAGGCGCCCAAATTAAGTCTTTAAAAAAAAAAAAAATTTCCTATGGTCCCATCTGTCCAGCTCCATTTACTTTCAGGCTGGGGTCCTAAAAGCATGGAGGCTATGACCACAGCTAGATCCAGGGCAACTCCAGCAAAGCCCTTCCACGCTCTTTGGTGCCCATAGAATGAAGTTCTGACTTCTCATGATATTGGTGAAGGTGCTTCATCATCTGCTCCCAGCTTCCCAGCTTTGCTGCCTTCTCTATCCTCCTCCCACTCAGAGTCGAGGCCACAAGAACTACCTGGGACTTTCGAAGCACGTCCTAGAGAAGGCACATCGTGCTCCTGTGCCTGTCCTCATGCACAGCTCTGTCCGGTTCTCCTTTACTCTTCATTCTCTTTGGGGGAAAGGCATTCTTCTCTCTTCAAGGCACAGCTCACAGGCTGCTGTCTTCATTATATCGTCCTTTATTCCCCACTAGAATCAATAGCCCTTCCTTTGGTCCACCTTTATTCTTTGTCTCTTGTGTCAAAGCCGTACGTGTACCTTTCTCACCGGATTATAAACTCTCCACAGGTAGAAATGCCTCACTCATCTAGCACAGTACCTCTGCTATCTTTGTACATGACAGACTTCAAAGGTGTACTGAAGTGCACACATTAAAAAGAATATCTTGATAACCGTTAGGAAATATAAAAAACCACTTACAAATAGGAAGTAAAATAAATAAATAAATAAAAAGCTTAGTATGATGCTAAGAGACAAAAACAAAACCAAACCTACAACATATATATATAGGAGTAAGGTATATAGTATGTTACCATGATGGAAAATAGTGAACAAAGACAAAAGGTGGGTTATAATGACTGGATTTACAGTTAATTTTTTCCCCTCTCCCAAACTTTCTGAAATGTACTTACACATTAATTTTTTTAAGTTTTTTTTTTTTAAAGATTTTATTTATTTTTATTTGAGAGAGAGAGAATGAGAGAGAGCACATGAGAGTGGGGAGGGTTAGAGGGAGAAGCAGACTCCCCGCTGAGCAGGGAGCCCGATGCGGGACTCGATCCCGGGACTCCAGGATCATGACCTGAGCCGAAGGCAGTCGCTTAACCAACTGAGCCACCCAGGCGCCCCACATTAATTTTATAATGGGAAAAATTATAAATTAAAAAGTAGTCAGTTTTTTGGTAGACCTTGCATGGATATATTTAACTAAAAAGAACTACCATGAACCAGACTTACTTCAATGTTTCACAGGAGTAATTTAAGGTAGAAAGAATAGCAGTCGTGTGATAAGTTGGGGAGCTGCAGATAAAGTTCCTTACAAACAACAGACAATCCCCGAGAAGCTGCTCAGGGATCTAGCCTCTCAATTAACCAGCTACAAAGACAAACTCTTGTCTGACAAATCACATTGTTCATGGGCATCTTGGCTTTTTATTAACTTTGAATTGTATAGAGCAGGGGTTGGCAAACTTTTCATTTTCAAATTTTTATTTAAAAACTTTTTTTAAAGTTCCAATACAGTTAACATGGCAAACTTTTTATAAAGGGCTAAATTACAAATGTGTTAGGTTTTGTGGGCCATTTGCTCTCTGTCACAACTACTAGAATCTGCCATATGGCACAAGAGCAGCCACAACATAATTCATCAAAAATGGGTGTGGCTGTGTCCCAATAAAACTTTTTAAGAATAAGGGGCAGACTAGGCTTGACCCATAGAACAGTCTGCCAATCTCTGATCTAGAGCAAGTTTTCTAAATTGTGCAGCATGACCTGTTAGTAGCTCATATACTCAAGGTAGTTGGATGCAACTGACATTTAGAAAATATTGGAACAGGGCGCCTAGGTGGCTCAGTTGGTTGACTGACTGCCTTCGGCTCAGGTCATGATCCTGGAGTCCCAGGATCGAGTCCCGCATCGGGCTCCCTGCTCGGCAGGGAGTCTGCTTCTCCCTCTGACCCTCCTCCCTCTCATGCTCTCTGTCTCTCATTCTCTCTCTCTCAAATAAATAAATAAAATCTTAAAAAAAAAAAAAAGAAAATATTGGAACACATGAAGCCTAAGTATTGAGTTTTTGACAATAGTTTCAGTTGCATATATGTTTATAGGTAATGTGTGTTCAGGGTCATGATACAAAATACCTGTCTTTGTGGACTATGGTCCAAGAGGCTGAGTAACACTAAGTTAGAGCACAGGTGCCAAGAGATTCAGGTGGTAAGGCTAATAAAAGTAAAAAATAAGCAGAAATAGTGATTCAATGGTAGCTATTATTGGGATAAGAACCAAAAATATGATGTTCTTAAAAAAGCTTTCCTATGTAAGTTACTTCAATTTGAACCTCAGTTGAGGAGAGGGGAGGTTTTACTTAGCAGGGAGATAATGGAATAAAAAACCCCTGTGTTTCTGAATTACGTTTATCTCCAATGTATCTGAAAGGGCTACCAAAATGCACATTCCTCTCTCCCCTCCTCCCCTTCCACATATGGAAGCTGGGTGATACTGTATGTCACTACTTGCCAATTATAAACGAGCTTGGAAAGATCGGTGGTGGGAAAGGCAGATGGCTGGGGAGCCACAATGCGCTTTTACCATTGTTTTCGCAGGTCAGGGCTGGTCAGGATGGTCGTGGCAATCCGGGCACCATTGACTGGAGGGTTGGAATACATGGGACGGATCAAGATCTTCAACTGTGACTCCACCCTTTTGGCTTCATCAGCATCTTTGCAGACCACAGTGAAGGCTCCCACACGCTCACCTGGAAAGACACACATGGATCTCGTCTTTCAGTTTTCTAATCTAACATGCTAAAGCAAATCATGATTCAATTTGCTAGATGTTATGCTTCCACCAGAAGTGCCACAAAAGGGGGCGCCTGGGGGCTGTTGTTAAGCGTCTGCCTTCGGCTCAGGTCATGATCCCAGGGTCCTGGGATCGAGCCCCGCATCGGGCTCCCTGCTCCACGGGAAGCCTGCTTCTCCCTCCCCCTCTTTCCCTGCTTGTGTTCCCTCTCTCGCTGTCTCTGTCAAATAAATAAATAAATAATCTTAAAAAAAAAAAAAAGTGCCACAAAAATATCTGTTACAAATTAAAAGCTTTCAACAACCAGTATGGTTAATCTAGAAATAACAGGAAGTTTGAGGACTCAAAGGTCTTTTTTTTTTTTTATTATATCCATCTTCTTGGTTTGTGGAGCAGTCACTTCTTATTTACAGAAGCAGTCATTAGTTTTCCCTGCTGGAGGAGTTCAGAGACATGAAAGATGTGACTGAGATCAGTAAAATCCATGTTACCTGTCTTTCTTCTCTGGGTAACACACACACACACACACACAGAGCATACACCCCACCCCCCAAATTGGTATCGCTGTGGCATCCTCTTCCAGAACTTCTTCAATCTTATCAGCACACACACATCACGCACTGGGTCCTTTAGCTCACCGTATAAGCCCATGTTCTTGGCATAGGATTGGCAGAGGCAAACATTAATGCCCTGTTCGATGAAGTGGCGTACGGCCCAGGCATCCTTGTTACCATCACCACTGGCAAAGCCTTGGTAGGCCATGTCAAAGAATGCAAAGAGATTGTTTTTCTGGGAAGGAAAAGAGAAGAGCAAAGCTTTAGGCAGTCCCTCTCAAGAAGCTCCACATGCTTGCCTGTGCTTATTGGGACGATGTTTGCCTCACATAGAGTCAACAGTTTTCTCCCCCAGTGTTGCCACTGTTGAAGATCTTGATCCGTCCCATGTATTCCAACCCTCCAGTCTATGGGGTCCGGATTGCCTCGAGAGGTTTAATTTTCCTTGAGTTAAGACATCATCATATATATTTTTTTACTTTGGTGGATATGGTCCCTCGAGAAGAAAAGATACTCTTAATTTCAATCTTCCCAGAAAGCTGCTTGATCAAACAGGAAGCTCTTTTCAGGCCCAAAGGAGTCTGGGTAATTACTCTGGTCCAGTCAATACAGGACCAACATCAGTCTTTTCTGGGGCTAATGTAACTCTGGCAGTCTCATACCCAGGACTCATGAGAACCATCTCATCTTCAAAGTGCTCTCTGAATGCTCTTTCTCTCTTTTTTCCCCTCTGTTTTATTCTGTTTGCATCTTATGTTTGATAGAATGTAAAGAAAGGGAAATCAAAAGAAGTGAAAATGGGGGTACAAGGCAACAGGAGTATTTTCCTCTGTTGGAATTTTTTTTTTTTTTTTTTAAGTAAACTCTACCTCCAACGTGGGGCTTGAACTCATAACCCTGAGATCATGAGTCACATGCTTTACCAACTAAGCCAGACAGGCGCCCCTGCTCCCTTGAAATTTTGACTAGTGCCTTCTCTGACAGCTGACCCTGTGAATGATAATGGCCATGCCAAGGAAATAGGCCAGGACAGGAGACATGACAAAGTGTATAAAGGACGAACAAGTAATCCTGGCCAGGGCAAATGTAGGTGCCAATGAGAGACACCCTGCGGCCAGTGGATGCCCACTGTACAGGCTAGCCAATGACAAGGTTCCTCAGAATTCCCTACACCCAGCATCCAGGCTGAAGAACAGAAATTATTTTCAAGCTGCTCATGTACCACCACTTAAGAACTGTTAGTTAGGCAGGGCGCCTGGGCGGCTCAGTCAGTTAAGCGACTGACTCTTGATTTTGGCTCTGGTCGTGATCTTGGGGTTGTGGGATTGAGCCCCGTATTGGGTTCTGCGCTCAGCAGAGTCTGCTTGAGATTCTCTCCCTTCCTCTGCCCTCACTTGTACGCATGTGCGTGTGCTTCCCCCCTCAAATAAACAAAAATCTTAAAAAACAAAAACAAAACAATCCCAAACTGCTAATTATGCAAATAAGCAGCTCTTTCCTGACAACTTAACAATGTGGGCTCAAGGGTAATTAATTCTCATTGTTAAGACCTTGCCCAGTTAAGCATCTATGGCCAGTTACTGAACACAAACTGTCGCCAGTCAGCTCACTCTCCTTACCTTCACCACTGTTGCTATTTCCTTCCACTGCTCAGGACGGGGGTCCACTCCTGTGGGATTGTGGGCACAGGCATGCAGGAGAAGAACGCTTTGCTGTGGCATTTTCTAAAAAGAGACAACCAAAAGATAGGTGACTTTGCAGCTCTGAAGGCGATAACTTACCTGAAATGCCACAGGCTCACTATTTTGGATCAGTAACAAAGATAACCTGAGATCTGGGAATTAGTTCATCCCCAGTATTTTAAGTCAGATATTGAGACCCAGCTGGGAGGCATCACATCTCCACAAGGAGGTTTGCCTCCTGTCCCTTCACCCCCTTGCCCTGAAAGTCACACTTACCGAAATGTCCTCTATAGCACCTGTGAAATCAAAGCCGCACGTCTTGGGCTCATAGTATCGGTAACCATGCAGCTGCATGCCAGCATCCCTGAAGATCGGCGTGTGATTTCCCCAGGACGGCTTGGGCAGAAAGACATCTCGGCTGAACTTAAAAAATCTTTGCTAAAAGATGGGATGAAAGGGAATGGAAAAGTGAAGAAGGAAGAGGGGAAAAAAAAAGAGCTGATATATTTCACTGAGGAAGACATTTTCCTCTTTGAAACTCAGCTTATCTTTATGAATGAGAGATAGTAACGACGCAGCAGCAAGACTGCGTGAGTTGGAATCTAAGCTCTGACAAGTAAATTCGCTGTGTAGCCAAGGGCCTGTCTGGGCCTCACTTTCTTCCTTTGTAAAATGGCGGTAAGTGAGCCTCCTTCATAAAGAATTAAATGAGTTAAAACAAAAGCTGGTAGTGACAGACAGGTGCTCAATAAATTAGATTTATTATTATTATCATTCTGTCTTCCTTGTAATTTCTTCTAAGTATTTTCATTTTTCTTACCCCCGACTCCGTTTATCAGAGAACAGGAACTCTTCCAACTTTGTGGAAAGTTGTCAGCAAACACACATGCAATAGGAAACGCCACCATCCTCAACTTAACAGACTGTCTTACAGCTCTTTCCTGCAGGAGTTTTCAGACTCACCAGAAAACTGGCTCCGATCCTCAAGGCCCCAGTTCCAGAAATGGTCTGCACGGTGACATACTGAAGGAGAGACAGCACGGTCAGTGAGGTGGGACACTCTCTACAGGCCCACAATGAACAGAACGGAGGCCAAGCCCACAGAGCAGAGCCCTTCCTTCTTCAGAAGCTGAAGACAACCTTCCAAACGGTATTCAGAAACGAGAGAACAGCACTATTGTTTCATTTCCCCATTTGCTAAGAGACAGACTGACTCTCCTCGTGAGTTCTCAAAAGAGCCATCTCTTCAGTTTCCCACACCTTTGCTGACGGAGAAGCTAACTCCTCACGGCTTGTTATCAGTATCATACCATATTGCAGGAGGAACATTCAGGATACAACCTCTTCCCCCACATGAGAAAGAGCTGATTTATACAGAGAAAAAAAGACACTAAGAACAGTCAGTACACTAAAATATTATTCCAGAATTATACAAAATTGAATGAGTCTCTGAACATCAAAGTTCCTTGAAAAGCAAGTCAACTTATTATTATTAGAATAATAAGGATCGCTACATTTTAAAGGCTCAGAAGTTCCACTTTGCGAGTTTCCATAGTCTGAAAACATTATCTTTTTTTTTTTTAAAGATTTTATTTATTTATTTGAGAGAGAGAATGAGAGAGAGAGAGAGAGCATGAGAGGGGGGAGGGTCAGAGCTCGGAGAAGCAGACTCCCCGCTGAGCAGGGAGCCGATGCGGGACTCGATCCCGGGACTCCAGGATCATGACCTGAGCTGAAGGCAGTCGCTTAACCAACTGAGCCACCCAGGCGCCCCATGAAAACATTATCTTTTGAGTAATAGGAAGGTGCCTGAGGTAAATCTGTTTCTTCAAATCAGTCAACTTTAAGGAATAAGAAACCACAGATTTTTTTTAAGGCACCATAGAAATTTAAGGTCTCTGAAACATAAACCTATTTTCTGCCCTGAAGGGCAATAGAAGAAATGGGGGGAACCTAACAAACTCTTTACCAAAGTTTGTCCCTGCAAACTTTGCTGTGACAGAAATAAAAACCTAACTGCGGGGGTACCAGGCTGGCTCGGTAGAGCATGGGGCTCTTGATCCTGGGGTTGTGAGTTCGGGCCCCACGTTGGGTGAAGAGATTACTTAAAAAAACAACAAAAACCAAACAAACCTAACTGTGGATCTGATAATACTAATAATCCACAAAGGCACAGCAATTTATGAACAAGCTGTTGTTATTTTAGCTAGATAGAGCTAAGCAAAAATTGCAGAAAAATATGGAAGCTTCCATGAGGGGTTAATAAGTGGTTGATTGTTCGGATATCAATCAAACCATGGATTAGGATCACTATTGTCTCACCCTGTGGTGGAGGTTGTATGCTTTTCTCTTGAGTTAATGAACTAACGTGGACTTAGACCAGCCTTATGAATAAACTGTATTTATTCTGGTCTTGGGGGAGGAAGGGGAAAAATGTTGGCTTAGTTCTGCTACTTTGTATGTTTTTCTCCAGACTTACCCAGAAAAATAGATGTTTAAACATACGAATGTATCCATTAATAAACACATTTGTTTCAAAGGAAAGTAAACTATAGTGCCCGAGGCCACAGGTCACTGGGCTGTTCACTGGCCTGGAAGCATCTGCCTGCCCAGCGCTACTCCTCTTCTACTCTAAGCACTGAGGCTGTGCATACTCTGTGGGTGCACACAGCCATCTGCTTGTGCAAAGTCTGTGTTCAGTGCCATCTTTCTTCTACAATAAGAGGGCCCCCAGGGAGACGGAAGGAGGAGACACTAGGAGACAGGTGTGCTTCTCCCTCGTGGCTGCACGATGCTCTCTGGAACTGAGAGACGAGGGAGGCAGCAAAAGGGAGCACGGTCTGCTCTCTTTTAATGTCCAAACTGGCCATGAAGGGGCAGCAGAGGAGTGCCAGACTGGTCCTGGCCCTAAGAGCCCTGCCTGTGTGCTTCCTCCATCCAAGCTGGAAGCCAAGAACATGAGGGTAGCGGCTAATTATAGGCCTAAAACTGGGCATAGTTTGGCATTTCTTCTTCTTCTTCTTTTTAAAGATCTATTTATTCATTTGAGAGAGAGAGGGAGAGCACGAGTAGAAGGAAGAGGCAGAGGGGAGGGAGAAGCAGGCTCCCCACTGAGCAGGGAGCCTGACGCAGGGCTCGATCCCAGGACCCTGTGACCATGACCCGAGCCGAAGGCAGACGTTTAATGACTGAGCCACCCAGGAGCCCCTAGTTTGGCATTTCTAAAGCATATTCAGTATAAAATGAACATAAGCGCACAGAGCAGTGTCAACTCTTCAGTCAAATTACTATTCCATTTTCAGGATTACTGCTACATTTTTACAATGGGTGTTACATGAAATCCTTTATTTAATAAGTGCCAGCTTACTTTCTAAAGAAGAGATATTAGCAATAGTGCAGCCACCTCAAAATAATCATCACAAAGTGATGTATCTTTTTTTATTTATTTAAATTATTTCAAATTTGTTTAAACTGTTAAATTTAAAAACAGACTCCGTATGATGCCAGAGTGTGCTCTGCTTACCCGGCTACTTTTCAACACTTCGTTGTTCTCACCCAGGGCTAGCTCTGCAGATGCCTTACAAAAGTCAGCAAGTCCCGCGATGGGCAGGTACTCTTTGTCCAAATTTTTTGCAGCAATCTGGGCCTCTGCCTAGACAAGAGAAAAGGTATCTGCCTAGTTTCTTCTCCTTACCTGGAATTACTATGATTAGTATTTAATGTTTTACAAATTCAGTTTATATATTAAATACAAAGGAAGTAAAGCCTTGTTTTTATTTGGAAATACTGTCCAAGAAAAAGGGTAAGTGCTATACCTGAAACTAATATGACACTGTATGTTAACTGGAATTTAAATAAAAACTTGAAAATACATACCCCCAAAAAAAACAAAAACAAAAACCTACAGTAAAAAAGAGTTGGTATTTTATACCGTAGAACAGAAATATTTGAATTTTTAAAATTATATTTTATTGTTTTTTTACAGTTAGGTTTTATATGGATGGGCATACAATGTTTTCTTGGTTAATATTTAACATACGGCATTCTTGGAATGCACAGGAACAAGATTTATGAGCAACACTTAAAAGAGATATAAGATGATAAAATCAAACTGAATACATAAAAAAGTATTTCAAGGTAAAATGCCAGTCTAAGAACTTCAAAGAGTTAATAGTAGCAGCCACATCTCTTCGTGCTTTGGAGACAGAGGTGAGATTGCCCCTTACTAGCTGTGTGACCCTGAGCAACTTAGTAACCTTCCTGAGCCCCAGTTTCTTCATCTGCTGAACAGGGAACAGCTGCTACAGCTCTTACCACTAGCTGAAGACCTGAAGAAGGAATGTACAGAAGCGTGTGGTGGTATTCCAGCTTACAAAATAGCTGACTAATACTTGCTGAATACTTTAAACTGACTGAGACCAAAGCAATCCCTGCATGACCTGAGACCCAGCAGCCAGCAGTTTTCAATAGGTCTTCTCATCACAATGGTTTCTCGAGCCCTTTTTTTCTACTCAGAGAGTTCTAGAGGTAACCCTTAACCCACACTCCCACTTCTTCTTTCAGGGGTTCATTCAGCCCATGTTCTTACTTCAGTGGCTCCTGAGGCCTGAGCCAGCTGGTTGCAGGGCGGTGCAGCTCAGATGATTCCGGAGTGCCGTACCCTCACCTGAAGTACTCCTTTGTAACTTGCACTCACTGTGCCCAGTTCTGCTCTATGGAGGAATGACACATCACCACCCCACTTTTGGAAGTGACAAAGAAGCATTCATATATCAACAGAGGAGGTGTAGATGGAAAGGAAACACACACTTCCTTTTAAAAAACTGTTCTAAGGGGATTAACTATTTGAAGTTATAGTGATAACCAAAAGAAAGACTAGTGATAAAAATACAACAAAAATAAAGCGAATTACTCTATAGTTCAGTATGAAGAAGGGACAGAGCATGCCTGTCTAGGAGAGCTTATTAAGGCAATCAACATGAGAGAAATGGAAAATAAAAGCAGTAAGCCTCATCCACAAAGGGCTATTCTTATAACCAAGAGGCAATGCTTAAACTCTTGGTCCTTTTGTGCACCTTCAGGATTAAACATGACACTATGCCTGCTTTATAAATGATCACAGAAGTTCAATCTTGAAAAAGACCACATAGTTCCAATCTGTCACTTTTACAAGTGATTCAAGCAGTTGGTGCCAGAACTAGAAGCCAGGTCTCCTAACTCCCAGCCTGGCACTTTTTCTGCCACTCTCCAGGAGCTTTCTTCAGTTTATTCATCCCAAGAAGGCAGGAGAAAGATGGCAAACTCACCTTCCGGACACTAGGGAGCACATAAGGCTTTCCATTATCATCCCGGTAGGCACCAACTCCCAGATTCATCTTTTTGCTGTTGGTGTCTCTCTTAAAGGCTTCTGTGACTCCCAGGATGGGATCTGGGGGCCCCATTTCCACATGGGTCCACCAGGAGCTGAAATGAGAAATAAAAGAAATCAGTCACAGTAGCTGGATTTCCATGGCCAGAGACATCTCAAATCTGCCAAAGCACTTCACAGAGGAGGGCAGAAGACCAAAGACAATGTAGGCCAGCCAGATGCCCTATTACATCACTCGAGTGTTGGGGTTTACTTTGCTGTGCACCACTCCCACATTCATCCTGCTGGCTTCAGAAGCCCTGCCAGCTGGAGGCGGGGCACTCCCTTCCACACCTGTGGTCTCCAGGAAGCAGCCCAAGGCAAAAACTGTTTCTCTGGTTTGTCCCTACCCGCTATTGATTTGGGGTTTGGTTTCTGGTTCAGCTATGGCCAGTAAGCTAGTCCTCATTGGCAGCAATGATTGTGAATCTGGTTTTAGGATCTGACCATTCAGTAATCTCTGAAAATGCGTAGCAGAGATCTATTCTCTGTTGGGTGAGAGATGACACATAATTTGGTTTGTTGTTTGTTTGACTTTGTTTATTTGAAGCTTAAATCAAGAATTTTGCAGTTCTGGGGTGCCCGGCTGGCTCAGCTGGTGGAGCATGATCTTGGGGTTGTGGGTTCGAGCCTCACGTTAGGTACAGAGATTATTTAATAAAATCTTTAAAAAAAAATCTTGCAGCTCTTCTTTTTTTAAAATCAGAACTGTGAGGTTTTTATATTTATTTTTGGCCTGTGGCTGAAGTTGTAAACCTAAAGAGCTATAAGAGGGGTGCCTGAGTGGCTCAGTCAGTTAAGTGTCTGCCTTCGGCTCAGGTCATGATCCCAGGGTCCTGGAATTGAGCCCCCGCATTGGGCTCCCTGCTCGGCGGGGAGCCTGCTTCGCCCTCTCCCACTCCCCCTGCTTGTGTTCCCTCTCTCGCTGCCTCTCTCTCTGTCAAATAAATAAATAAAATCTTAAAAAAAAAAGAGCTATAAGATCTCTATATGTCAGTAATTCAGAAAGGCTTTTTTGTTTTACCTCTCAGTGTCTGAATGTGAAATGTTTTCCAGCTCTATAGGGTACTGATAAATTGAGATCATAAAAATCTTGGGGCACCTGGGTAGCTCAGTTCATTAAGCGCCCAACTTTGATCTCAGCTCAGGTCTTGATCTGAGGGTTGTGAGTTCAAGCCCTGTGTTGGGCTCCACTTAAAAAAAAAAAATCTCAAAGGTACTCTGGTCTGACTGTGTTATAAAGACTGAATTTCTAGTACTTTAAATGTGCTACACAAAAGTTTTTTCTTAAAGAAACTAACTCAAATGTTTAAAAAATTCAAGTTCACATCAGTGATATAAACCTTTGAGACTAGCTGAACTGATTTAATAAAAATAGTTATGTCTTTTATTTATTCATGTTAAGCATGATACAAGTATACATTTTATTCTGTGGCTTTGTTTTTCCCTAAACTTATACTGGTTTACTGATACTATAAGCTAACATTATTCCTATATAATGTTTAAAATTATGAAAAATGTAAATTTGTGTTCAACTAATCATTACTGTGACATATTTTCACCTCACACTTGTCAGAATGGCTAAAATCAAAGACACAGGAAACAAACATTGGCTTGTGGAGAAAAAGGAACCCTCATGCACCGCTGGTGGGAATCCACGGTGTAGCAGCCACTGTGGAAAAGAGTATGGTAGGGGCGCCTGGGTGGCTCAGTCGTTAAGCGTCTGCCTTCGGCTCAGGTCATGATCCCTGGGTCCTGGGATCGAGCCCCGCATCGGGCTCCCTGCTCAGCGGGAAGCCTGCTTGTCCCTCTCCCACTCCCCCTGCTTGTGTTTCCTCTCTCGCTGTCTCTCTCTCTCTGTCAAATAAATAAATAAAAATTAAAAAAAAAAAAAAGAAAAGAGTATGGTGGTTCCTCAAAAAATTAAAAATAGAGGGCGCCTGCCTGGCTCAGTCAGTGGAGCATGCACCTCTTGATCTCAGGGTCGTGAGTCTGAGCCCCACACTGGGTGTCGAGATTATTTAAAAAAGAAAAAGAAAAAAGTTAAAAAAAGATTAAAAATAGAATCACCATATGATCCAGCAATTCCACTATTGGGTATCTACTCAAAATAAAACAAAATTAGAAAAGATGTATGTCATCATATGTGAACTACAGCGTTATTTATAATAACTAAGATATGGAAGGAAGCAGCCCAAGTCTCCATCCATAGATGAATGGATAGAGAAGATGTGGTAGAATGGAGTATTCAGCCACAAAAAAGAATGAAATCTTGCCATTTGCAACAACATGGATGGATCCAGAGAGTATAATACTAAGTGTAATAAGTCACAGAAAGACAAGTACCATATAATCTCACTCACATGTGGAATTTATGAACAAATGAGCAAAGAAGAAAAGAGACAAACAAAAAACCAGACTCTTAAATATAAAGAACTGGTGGTTTCCAGAGGGGAGGTAGGTGGGTGGGGGAGGTGAGTGAAATAGGTGAAGGGGAATAAGAGCACACCCATCTTGATGACCACTGAATTACGTATAGAATTGCTGAATCGTTATACTGTACACCTGAAACTAATATAACACTGTATGTTAATTATACTTGAATTAAAAAAAATAAAATAAAAATTACATATTTTTTCTTTTTAAATATGAATTTAAGATTTTATTTATTTATTTGAGAGAGAAAGAGAGAGGGAGAGGGAGAGAGTGGGAGAGAGCGCGCGCATGAGTGGGGAGAAGAGCAGAGGGAGAGAAAGAGAAGCAGACTCCCTGCTGAGCAGGGAGCCCGATGTGGGGCTCTATCCCAGGACCCTGAGATCATGACCCGAGCCGAAGGCAAACACTTGACCGACTGAGCCACCCAGGTGCCCCTTTTTTTAAAGATTTATTTGAGGGGGGGGGAGAGAGAGAGCGAGAGCGAGCGAGCGAGTACAAGTGGGGGGAGGGGCAGAGGGAGAAGCAGACTCCCTGCTGAGCAGGGAGCCAGACGTGGGGCTTTATCTCAGGACCCTGAGATCATGACCTGAGCCAAAGGCAAATGCTTAACCGACTGAGCCACCCAGGCGCCCCTATTTTTTCTCTTTTATTAGAGTCATTCATTCATTCTTGGACTCCACCCTCAGCATGGAGCCCAACCTGGGCCTTAACTCACCACCCTGAGATCAACACCTGAGCTGAAACCAAGAGTCGGAGGCTTAACCTTAGATTGAGCCACCCAGGCACCCCAGTAGGTTAAATTTTTTAGTTTAAAAAAAATATTTTATTTATTTATTTGACAGTGCGAGTGAGAGAGGGAGAGGGAGAAGCATATTCCCTGCTAAGCAGAGAGCCTGATGTGAGGCTCAATCCCAAGAGCCTGGGATCATGACCTGAGCTGAAGTCAGATGCTTAGACTGAGCCACCCAGGCATCCCATAGAACAGTTTTAGATTTACAGAAAATTGAGCAGCTAGTACAGAGTTCCCAACAGCTGCCCCTGAAGAGTTTCCTCTTATTATTAACATTTTATATTAGTAGAGTACATTTGTTACAATTAATGAACCAATACTGACACATTATTAAATCCACAATCTATTCAGATTTCTTTAGTTTTCACCCAATGCCTATTTCCGTTCTAAAGGCCTACCCAGATATCATATTGCGTTTACTTGTCATGTCTCCTTGGGCTGTTCTTGGTGGTGCAGTTTCAGATACCCCTTGTTTTTGATCACTTTGACAGTTTTGGGGAGTACTGGTCAGGCATACTGCAAGATACCCCTCTACTGGACTTTTTTTTTTTAAAGATTGTATTTATTTATTTGAGAGAGAGAGAATGAGAGACAGAGAGCACGAGAGGGAAGAGGGTCAGAGGAAGAAGCAGACCCCCTGCTGAGCAGGGAGCCCAATGCGGGACTCGATCCCGGGATTCCAGGATCATGACCTGAGCCGAAGGCAGTCGCTTAACCAATTGAGCCACCCAGGCGCCCCCCTCTATTGGACTTTGATATTCTTCTCATTAGACTGGAGTTATGGGTGGTTAGGAGAAAAGTAATTTTATTTTGTAGTATGTCCACTTGAAGATAATTTCTAAGATCTTTAAGTAACTTAAAATCTTGGACTAATATGAGTTAATTAATGGGTTACTTAATTATTGGATACCTAGATAATTTCTAAGACAGGATACAGACACATTGATTACTAAGCATAATTTTTATATACTTTTATTTCCTATTTTTTATTTATTATTTTTTATTTTAAAGATTTTATTTATTTATTCATGAGAGACAGAGAGAGAGAGAGGCAGAGGGAGAAGCAGGCTCCCAAGGAGCAGAGAGCCCGATGCGGGACTCGATCCCAGGACACTGGGATCATGACCTGAGCCGAAGGCAGACGCTTAACCATCTGAGCCACCCAGGCGCCCTTATTTCCTATTTTTATACGTGCTAGAGAGGTTATAGCTTTGGGTCATTTTATTAATTAAAAAATTTTTTGGGGGGGTTAAACAACAAATTTATTTTCTCACAGTTCTAGAAGCTAGAAGTCCAGAGCTTTGGGTCATTTTAGTGAACATGTTCTTTGTTGTCATTTTAAGGGGGAAAAAAAAGTATATATATATAAAGTATAAAAGGGATATATGTGTGGCTGTAGAAGCTGAACTATGTGCATCCACTAGTCTGCTAAAATGCTTATGTAGGATTGACATCAGTGCCCTCCCCTCGGTTTTGTCTGTGAAATGGAAGTTACTTTGGTTAAAAGTTATTATTAATGAGTGGTTGAGAACATACTAGGATCAACTATCACAGAGAAATGCAACTTTGTATATGTTTTTGTTTTTCAAGGAAAAAAGTTGTGTTGTCCTAAGGCAGTGGTCCTCAACCATTTTGGTCTTTGGATCCCTTTTTATTCTTTTTTTTTTTAAAGATTTTATTTATTTATTTGAGACAGAGAGAATGAGAGAGAGCGAGCACATGAGAGGGGGGAGGGTCAGAGGCAGAAGCAGGCTCCCCGCCGAGCAGGGAGCCCGATGCGGGACTCGATCCAGGGACTCCAGGATCATGACCTGAGCCGAAGGCAGTCGC